ATAGATTATCATAAATTTATAATACATGAAGGAAGCGCTCCGTAGTGAAAGGGTTAATACCCTCCTTCATTGCATTATGCAAGAATGTTCGTAGTAGTTTTAATGATACGTAAAGAAACGTGTATAATCTTCAGAACTTTAAGATAAATTCAGGAATGATTTAAAAATTTCAAGCGCAACCAGAAAAGTTATTTCAAGAAGATTTTCCATCGAGCTTAATTGATATTTCAAACGTTTCACGGTATCCGTTCGTTTCTTTCCAACGTTGCCGTAGCATTTTCACCGGAAAATAAATAAGAATCGTGGAAAGAGGTTTAAAGGAAAAAGTTTCAAGAATTTCTCAAATGGATGACAAAACGGTGGAAATAAACTGCTCGTTGTTTCCACGTTACAGCAGGGAACCGTAATCTCTTTAAGATGTTGTTTCTGCTGCTTTCCTTCGTCAGCGAACAAAGAACACGCTTCCGTGCGATTATATACGAGTCTGTACCGCTTTGAAAATATGTAAAGAAAGTTACAATTCTTAAGACAACTCGCGACAAAAATATCGAAACAATTATCCATTATATTACAAAAAATTCTATTCAAATAATCTCATGAAATTCTATCCATCTTAAAATTAATTGCCAGAAAATTTGTAAAACATTGCGAAAGATATTTCAGTAATAATTTCATACAGATGATGAACTGTTTGTCATGGCAGAATAACGATTTCACGGCGTACAGTAAATTTGCTAGATAATTATACCCGTTTGCATCAACGTTTCCTTTTCTTTGACTGGAAATGCCGGTAATAATTGTGCGCGCACGCTCGAAATCCGCGATGTCGGAGAGAAATAGAGAGTATGTAAATCTGTTGGCACGTAGATCACGATTAATTTGATGTGCCAGCAGAACGGCGTAAGTAGAGGCAATTAGTGCAGCACCGCTGTAGAACTTTACGCCGCGTTTTGTTCCTTCCCTTTCTGCCGACCGACTTCTCAACCTCTAAATTTCCCTCTGTTTCCGGCTTAATTTATATCGCTCGTTAACCAGCGGCGGTGGTCGTCGAGAAAAATGCGCGCTGAATGCGTGGCAATAAAACAAAACGAAGAGAAAATGCACCGCGTAGAGAGCAGATTCGCGAAGAGGCGGGGTAGGATATAAAGGCGAGCGAGCCGAAACTAGAGGCAGGAAAATTTTGTTCGTAATATAGCGACTTTCACTCGGAGTACATTGCTGTTTCAGATTAAAATTCTTCGTTTTACGTCACGGCTGTTCCCTTTTAGAGCTTCGCGAGATACGGGATAACATTACTCCGTCAAGACGCGTCTGTCACGTTTTACTTCGCAAATTAGAGTTCGAGCAATATAATATTTATAAACTGACATCTCTCACTTTTTCTTCGACGAATTATTTAACCTACTGTACCGTTCGAGACCCGTGATTCAGGTAAATTAATGTTATATGTGTGTATTCAGAACGATCACGCGTGGCGCAGCCATTTTGATATGGATATAACGACGCAGAATCGATATAAACTGGACCGGTTGACGGCAGCGATTGTGAATATTCACGCATTTTTAAAGCGGTATGATTGGTCACGTACCTTTAGTGAAGAGAATTCCGGGTCTTCTTATATTCACTTTAATAAAACTTTAACTGATTGCGAGGAGAAATGACGTTTTCTACAAACAATGACACGGATAGCGTTTTCCATAGAACTGAACTAGGCCCGGGAGCGCCACGCACCGGCGAGCGGAACCTCCTTCCCCTTCTCTTTTTTGACGTCGACGAATTGTGTTAGGGAATTTTACCGACGGCCAATTCAACCGCGCGAAATTTGAAAAGCACTTGGATCGGTTTCGATCCAACATCTACTTCAGAATAATTTCATTGTTCAAAAGTTTGGATCAATAACAGGAACCTGAGATGGAAAAACTGATTTCCGAGTGTAAAGAAAACTGATCCCTGGGTCTGAAAACATTCATCACAGCTGCACGAATGGTAAATAGATAGTGGCAAGGATCTTCAAAATTATCTCACCTTTATGTTCTTTGCTTTTGAAAGGAATCTGCTAAATCAGTACAGAGGCGTATACGTGCTACAGTTTTTCAGCGATAGAAAAAAAGATATGATTAAAAAGGAAATGCATTTTACGGGGGTTGGTTTAAATCGTTGCGAAATATATCTTACGCGAAACGATGAGAGATATTCGTGTTAATGGGAAGCTTTTTTCCTCCTCTTTCTACCTTTTTGTTTTTCTTTTTTTCTCTTTTTTATTTTCAGCTCACGGAGTGGGTTTCTTTCGTACCGGTGTAAATTAACATCGAACCTGCTTTTGACGTCCACTGCTACGCCTTTTTCTTTTTTTCCCTCTCACCGACGAATCAGGATAACGAGGTTTCCACCTATGAGCCCCGTTTTCATTCGCTAAGTACTCCTCGCCAGCTCGTTACCGAATGATACACACCAGATAATAAATAATTAAAAACGAAATGGGACGAACGTTCGTTATACGAGGAAATTATGGACTTTTCGGAAAACCAACCGCGATTCCCTGCGACAATCGTACGTAATCGTGTCTTCGATAATTGATTTTCAAATATTCAGTTTTGTACGAATAAACCAGTCGTCAGCCAACAAATTTCAGCCGGTAATTCGCGAAATTCTGATATAGCTCTGCGTGACATAATTTTGAACGATAAACAGTCAAGAAATCTTCATTCTGGCAAACGAAACTGATTCGTGTATCGAAAAGATCAAAGCGAATAAATTCATATAGACAACTTTGTAACATATTCACTATTTTGATATCTATATAATTTATACTTTATCGGTAAGCAAGGATTTTTCACCTGCTAGTCGACGTTTTCCAAGTTAGACAAAAGCCATTTTTTCGTCTGTTATTTCAGCTCAAGCGATGAAAGTTTCTCCCTTGTTGGATTTTCCGCGATGCGTAACTTCGTTCGATGGCAAAACATTTTCTCAGGGATAATATTATTCGCAAAACATCAGGATTAATTCAAAACATTGCTATATTCTTGTTTAACAAATTCGCTGATCCGAGTCATCTGCGATCCCGGCGAATAATATTTTTATTCGTTTCGATCGCCAACGAAAATTCATGATTCTCAGCCCGAAACAAACACGTTAATTCTGAAAATAACATCGATCAGTGCCTTTGAAACGTCTCCAACTCTCCTTCGATTCGCAATTAACGACGCTTTCCCGTTCTCCTGGACATTCGACCAGCCAAGACAAACAATTCCTTTTTCGAGGGTAACGTAAATATCCTAAATCACGGAACTTCCTCTCGATCTCTCTGAAATCTCTCATTCCTCCCGCCGCATCCTCCACCATTCCACCACTTTTTATTCGTCCCTCGTCCGTAGCCTCGCGAGAGAAGTCGGCTCACACAGGCAGATAATAAACTCGAAACAATACGACAAGCAACGTTCCAGCACGACACGAACATGCTTTCAGCTTTAAAACGCGATACCACCGAGTCGCCAGGAAAGCTATTTCATAACTGGGTCGAGCAAGTAGCCGGACCATGGGTGTACGCTGGGTGCCGGATAAAAGGGTGAGTCGCGGAAAAAAGTCAGTTCGCGTGAAACGGCTTCGCGGTTTCTCTTTTTCCATCCTTTAACAATCGACCGAAATATAGACAAAGTGGACAGGCTCGTTAAAGGATTTTCTTCGATTTCTTCGTTCAATCAAAAATCAAGGATTCGTAGTTTCGAACCGTACGAAATTTGAGACTACGAGGAACATGATTTGTTCTTAAGACAATTCATGAATTTCAAGGTAGAAATGGAATTAACAAAACAATAGCGACGCAATGGTTCGTCTAATTAACGTACTACGTTTCGTCTGACTCGCGTGCTCGAACGAGTTGATCCTACCCTCCCAGACAATTATTTCCAACCGTACAGCGAATTAACTTGGACTAATTGATATTCAACGAATGCTAGTCGCAGCAAATTGGGCATACTTCTGCGCGTAGAGACGCGAAGCTCGCTAAAGTTCGCTCGGTTGATCTTTAACGCGAATACGTCTTGGCGGTACAATATACTATTCAGAGATCGGCGACGGAAATCGAGGTAAGAGGGATAGTTACCTGTGAAACAGATGCTCCCTTGTTGCTGCAGAAACAATGAGGGTGCGAGCACAAAGGCGGCAACAAACTCTATAACTCACGGCGTCGCGACGTCGCCGTGTCCAACACAGACGTGGAATACCGATAAAAGACGATTTGTTGGGAAACGCATCGCCGACTCGCCCGTTTATACGTAGCTCGACAAAGAATGGCCGAGATCTGTGACTCGTTCATCTTTGTAATTTTCAAACAGCCAATTAAACAATTTGCGGATGGAGAATAATTTCGTTTACTCGACTATAGAGATACCTTGGAACATTATTAGTAAGTGAAGGTGAAATAGTTATTTGTAGAAGAATTGAATAGAAGCAAACGAATTCACGAGCGATTCCTTTTTTTTATAGGCGTATAAAAGTTCTGTCTTTCTTTGTTCCTCACTTTATACATGTAAACGACCCACTTTGATTTTGGTTAGCCGTCGCACACGCGGAGTAGTTACCCTCGTAAATTCGAAAACTTCCTCACGAGTATCTCGGCTGCGAGCGTTCTTCGATTTTTCAACAATATGGCCCTGGCATATTGCAAAAGTGCCCGCCAACTTCTTAAAGTGCTTCTCGGCAAACCGTAATCGTTCTTTCGAACTATGGCCCGCGATTAGGATGAAACATTTTCAACAGTGGCAAGAGATTATTGACGGTCGTACACCTTGCAGCTATCGAGTCGTTTAAAGAAAAATTAATATATCAAAGGAAGATTTATCAGAGATTTTGCGATAAAAATTTCGAGCATGCCTAAGGTAAATTAAAATCTTTGAAAATAATTAAAATGAAGAGTTTATAAATTTAAAAAAATGATTTGACAAATGAAAATGAATTCATACGTGACTGGAAACAGACAACCGAGACGCCATCGACATTACCTTCTTTCGCCTGCACGAATCCGTGGACCTCGCAGTAACTTCCGGCGGAACCGGCGGCGCCAGGCGTGTCCAAAGTGAACAACGTGTTCGCCGACGAGCTGACAGCGTCGTCTGGAGTCTGCAGCAGGCTGGTTGTCTGCGAAACCGTTCGTTGCTGATGATGAGAATGATGATGCAGATGATGATGCTGTTGTTGTTGCTGTTGCAGCTGCTGTTGCTGTTGCTGCTGCTGTTGCTGCTGAGCCGCGAGGATCTCCTCGTGGCGACATTTCGAGCAACGACGCATCTCCGAGCGAACACGCAGCAGCCAGACCATGCCGAACAGTGCCATAGCAATCTCGAGTCCCGGTGACCTCGATGGGTGCTTCATGCTCGCTGAGTCAAGGTCATCGAGGCTCCACGAGCCAACGCGATGCATAGCACTGAAATCTCGGGGTACCAACGACTCCTTCCCTCTTAATTGCCACTTAATTGCCACTACGTCCTCGACGCTCGGACGATCTTTAATCTTTTCGTAACTTTATCCTTCGGCGATGATGATTCAGAAAACTTCCTTCCGAACAACTTCAAATTCTAATTACGAAAACGCGTGTAAGCAGTTCCTTATTAAGCTTGAACAGTTTTAATTACGAAATGTTTCCTCTTCGACTACTTTTGTTCCCTTGATTATGTTTGTGTTTGATAAAGAACGTTTCCTTTACCTCGCAGCGCTATCTTCTCTTTTAACATTTTACATGTTCCATGGCTTTTCACGGTACCATTTGTTTCCACTTTATAGACTCTTTGCTTTCTCTTTTATATCCTGCCCGTTTGTCGGAGCAAACGATCGCTCGTACGTCCCCGTTCGAATCCAATTTTTAACTCGTGACACCTGCCCTCGCATCGAGATCCCTCTCGTCCTCTAATCGAACTTATCCGCCGCGAATTCTACCTCGCTTTACCTCCATTCTTCTTTCGATCCCCAAAGTATCGAAGTAATCCTACTTCACCCTCATTTCACCCAGTCGACCAGCCTTCCACACGTTCCATCGATTTGATTCCTAACTGCTCGGCCGCAGTGAAACGAGCACCCTCGTACCGTCAATTCGTCGAGATAGAAGATCCCGCACGGTCAACTCTACGCTTAGTTTCCACATTTTTCACCGACAACGGGACCGCACTAGATCCGTCAGGATTACGATGCCCGATGTCTCGTTCGAAACATAGAATCGTTCGTTTGCGACCGATCGCGGAACGTTCTTTCCCCAACGGGAAACGTTCATCGAATTCCTTGGGACACTTGCGCGATTAGCTTAACGTTGGAAAATCGAAGGCACGATTGTTGGGAACTCGAGGGTTACACCATCTAAACGGTGTTGAATACTTTCACGATACTTTGAGCGTTTCGACAGAGGGTCAGGGAAATCGTGGAAGCTATCAGAGGCAGACTAATGACCGATAAGATCCTCGATCCTGTCCGTAACACGGTTCGTGGAAAACGATCACAGTTAATGAAGCCAAAGTTCGACGACACTGGTACGCGCTTGGTCCCGGAACTGAAAACGGGTCGGTTATAAAAGTAGAAAAGATGTCCGCGCGAATGGCGGAACACTTTCGTGAAAGTTTTCAAGGAAACGAAGGTGGAGGAGGTATCGTTACTCGGTTCACGAACTTTCACGTTTGTCCTGACGGTGTGCGAAGCAAGTTGGAACGAGCTGGACCAGCCAGCCAAACAGCACTCTCCTTCTGGCTCGCGATCGTTTCAACCTCTGCGACCGTTTTCTCGCCGCGATTCTCCGTCGACCATCGAGCTGCGCGACGAGGCTGACGTCTTTCCAAAGGCAACCCCCTCGAACGAGAATGCTCTCCCATTGAGACAGCACTTCCGGCCAACGTGTGCTTCACTTGATACGCATGAGTGAACCCGACTCTTTCGTCCAGAACCTTTCGCTACAGAAGCCGGTAGCAAAACGTTGATCCTCGCGATAACGCGGTTTCTAGAGCTTCGCAAACCGATTCCAAGAAGGTTTTGCGACTGTCGAAACCACTGACCGGGAACGGCCGATAACTGACCTGGCCACTTCTTTTATCCAGCACCAACCAGAAGCTTGCCGATCCTTTCGTCTATTTTTTCCTTCAGATGAATTCTATTACCAACCCTTTCGCTCGTACTTTTCTTGCGCTTCGCCTGCAAAAGTCACGGATGCCATCGAGTTTGGCATTCGACGAACGAAAGGAAACACGCTCGAACGGAGTCGATAGTGTTCCTTCTCTATTTTTGATGATTGCTTTTCTTTTTTCCTTTTCATCTTGCTTTCGCCGTGTCTCTGACGTTTCGACGAGGAGGATTTTTTGTCGAACCCGTTCGGTAATCTACCGTTTGATTCGATGAAATGAGATTTCTTTCGTCGCGAACGAATATTCTACCGTCTCTTCCACCGTATTCAGGTCCGATTGACTTTTCTTATTTGCGAATCTACGGGTGGCCTTATGCATTCGAGTTAAAATATTGTTCCGAGAATCATCGAGTTATCAATTTTTCAATTTTACCAATCTGCAGATAACGTACTAGATCACTGAGATTCGTTTAACGAGATACGAGTTCGATCAAGAGCGAATCACTTAAAGCGTTTTGCAGAACACGAGCCGAGTGCAAACTTCGGAATATGAAAGAGAGCAGACGTTGCAAGGGTATCTCGCGGATCGGCTCGAGCACCTACGAGATGAGGGTCGTGAATTGCAACGGAAGTCGACGTAGGGTGTAGTGGAAAACACTTGTCAATTCTTCGAGTACTGACTGCTGGCACTCTCATCAACGTGGTGGAACAAGATGCTTCTATCTGTCACGTACAAGTAACAATTAAAACTTGAACTTTCAACCGATGGTAACTCGCTTGTTAACGATTCTCCGTTTGCAAATATTAAATCAAGCCGTATCTTCGTTACCCGCCTTACGAGTGACTTATTCGAAAAGCATTGAGACTGCTTGCTTTACAATTTTCAATTTTCAATTTTAACCCTCCAATATTTAATGTCTCGCGCGTGTGACACTGACTTTTATCATGCAAATACGATCTCACTACTTTGGAACAAATTGCTACGCACACGCGTGAACTTTCCGAGCGTTCAATCGAACGAGGCTTTCAGCTCTTTGTCCGCTATCAAGCGCATCGCGCGCGGATAAATAAACCGCGAACGCGATTATATCGGCAGAGAAATAATGCAGCTGCCTGTGCCTGTCATGACGGCGTAGTAAATCATAATGATGCGAGCCGGGGATAATGCATCGCGGAGAGGTGAATGAGCATTAGGGGCCAAAGAATCATCTGACAAAATACTATCGGGAGGAACAATTCGATTGAAACGAACCATGATTCAGAAGCATCCTGCTGATCGACATATATACTCTCGCGTTTGTTTCCGATAGATGTTTCTGCTTTGAAACACGATTTCCGTGTGAATTGCGTTAAAGAGGAACAGTGAAAATGATCGACTAAAGGATTATTTTTCAACGGAAACAGCGAGTAGTTAACTAACAGGGGATTCGTAAATTCGAACGCGGGAAGAGCAGGCAATGTACAGGCTTTACTCGGCACGCTATAATGGTCTCTTAGATAATAACTCTGTTCGTATTTCTCCCGCATGCCTTCACAGACGAACGGAACAAAGTTGTGCGCGCTGGTAGCACCAAGTTCGGGGATGAAATTAGCAGAAAAGCCGTGCTGTATGGCGAACGAGACGAACGCGTACCGTTCAACGCAATTAAACGCGACGCAAGACCCTCGTTCATCGAGCCGCTACCATTGTTGTTTCCCACACTCGGTACACCCCTTTCTGTGTACCAGTTACACGGATGGAATTTATTTTGATTTTCCTCGGTGCAAAGTATCCGCGGCTCAGTATGCGTCGCATGAAAATTTATGATATTCTCGTTCGTGCGTTCGTTCGGTCGCTCGGCTGAGAAATTTATTCGTTGCGCGTTATTTAAAAAAAAACGTCGCGGTTCAACGGCACGAAACGCCACGGTTCTCCTACGTGTCGGTCGTAAAAAACGAGAAAAAAAAAAATACAGTGAGAGAGAGAAAAAAAAAGACAGATATTAAAATATTATCGCGGATTCGCATACGTGTCATCGTATATTCGGCCGATGGAAGGCGAGTGGAAGAGTAACAACGGCAGCGAAAAAATATGGAAAGCCGTGATAAATCGATACGACGGAAAAATATGCTACTTTCGGAGTGACTGAGCTTTCCCGGAGCCATAGATTTCGTTAAGTATGAAATTCAATAAAAGTTAAGTCCTGAAACTGCTTAACGGAAGATCGAGACTCCGGATTATAGATTTATAAGAATATATAACGCGAGAAAAGCGCAGGAACAAAATTTTCATTAATCGAACTTGTCGCAAAATGAGTGGCGGAATAAAGAGATTCGACCCGTTCAAACTGATTACTATGGATGAATTAACGAGAAGCAATCCTGTCCGCTAATGAAACGCGACACCGTGACGTCGATGCATTAATTCCTGCCGATCGATCCGCGAACCGAAATAAATAAAAATCATGGACGAAACGGTGCTGTTAGTGGTCTCCAACCATCGATGACCGGCTATTTTTTTCTCCCTTTTTTTTTTGATAGAAACGATTCGCGTTGGTCGCACCACGGCTGACAATTCGACGGTGTCATCGCAATTGAGATCGGCGAGAAATAACCACGTTTTGTAATATACCAGCTTCCCAGAATTTCAGCCTCGAAAATCACCGAACTTGTTTCGCATTTTCGGGAAAATTTCACCCTCGCAAATCCACTATCGTTTCGACACGATGTAACGGGAATTACAGTCATCAAATGTCCAAAATAATGCCGCCATTGTTACCCTTTTTTGCAGGATCAATTTGATGTTCAATTGATCGAACACTGATACCGAAATGAATAGAAAAAAATTTTCATTTGTTCATAATTTTAATCGTGCCATGGCCGATGATACAAAGATAATTTAAAAAACGTCGAGGAACATTTTGCAACGGCTAGCACAACATATATGTGGTCGGTGCTCATGAACATCGGAGAGGAGAAAAAGTTTTAATAAACGCAGTTGAGCAACTGTATCAGACAAGCCTTTAACGGTGTGTGTAGGTGTGCACGGTGTTCCGTCAATAATTTAAAAACTTCTAGTCAGCGTTGGGAAGTGCGTCTGCTTTCGAACTTTCCATCGCGATGAAAGTTTCTTTTATTGGACTCGAAGAAAATTGCCCTTTGGAAATGCTCGCTTTCAGAGCGGAGGCCCAAAGAACGTAAGGGTAGAAATGAAGTTGTTCCAGCGTGTTCCGTCAAGAATTATTACTCTTTCGTTTACCATCGCAACATACAGCCTCGAGTTAGACCCGAGACTCTTTCAAATCATAGAATCTTGTGTTATCAATTGTATTAATAAAGGAAGCAACGATAAAAATCA